CTTGATATGTATACAAAAGTGAATACAATCCTAAAAATATACTGTTATTCTTGTGTTAAGAAGGCTTAAGAATTATAGGTTAAAATATCAATAGATTAGGGGCGCAGTCGCCCATTCAATGGCCCATTCAATCCAATCCAATACTATATTCCATTGCTATTATTGTACTATTTATGACAACCACTCACTTATATTTGAAGCCCTTTTCTAAATGTTGTCCAAAAAACATAATCAGTTTACTTACAGTTATATCATTACCCGTTAATTGAAATAAATTGAAGTGCAAATAAAGTACAAATATAGATATACTGTGGAAATAGAGAATTGTATACGAAATGGTTCACTGGAGTGACTATTCTCTACGAGGTTGGCTCAGTTTCCTCTCCTTCATGCATATCGGAACTGCTTTCCGATGCTTTTATGACAAACACTTTCTCAGAGACAAAATATTTACGACCGATGCGGCCAATGGTATGCTATTATAATTAATTGTCACATTTTTCTTGTTTATAATTTCAAATTCTATGACAGACACTGCTTTTCATCATTTGTACGGAATATATAATATAATGACATGTTTTATACTCATCCAGTCGTCCGTCTATTTATATGTCATGCCGTATGTATTGATTAATGTACTCATAATATCTCGTTTGTTAATGGTTTGCGAGTTGTTTCAAGCAATTAATCGTTTATTTCTAATCTGTGTTAACCAGAGTACAGAAGCTGGCGATTTGGTCGATGCTATTGAATGTTATATATTTCATGACAGAAGCGCTATATTTCAAATCGATATCATCTTATGGTTCATCTCTATTCCCATTCATAATGAGTGGTAAATATTGATTTTTATTACAAATAACTAATAGTAAACATAAATTGTTGTAAAGTTAATAGATTTTGTCAAGTAAAAACATTATGGTTTTAAAGTAAATATATAACTGTTATAAACTGTTTATTTGACAACAAATATAAACCATTACAGGAATAACACTCGTATGGATTGTTAACTTTCATTATATTTGGAAGCCTTGGAAACGACGAGATCTGGAGTTTGAAAATGAATTACTTCTTCGAGGAATTTCTGCACAAAAATTGAGTCGAAAGAAGAGATAAACGGATTATCACGTCATGTGTTAAATGTCGTCTCGTTTTATTCAAAATTCAGAAAAAAACAGTTATTTTGATTGAATTGATTGAAGGCATCGACGCATCAGTGAAAGAGATTGTCGTTTGTATTGACCCCCAAAATGGTTCCAATGGTTTAAGTGATGAAACAATTGATACAAACTATCGCGTCTGTCATTAGGAGAATAGAAATGTATTTTAAGTAATTTTCACACAATTAGTGGAAAAAATATTTAAAAAATATCAGTCGTTATCAAAGACCTGTCATATCCCGAAGACTTTGGCAATTTGTTGTGATAGCACTCATAAAACGCACGATTAAAGCCCCCAAACATATGACCGATGGATAAATCAAACTCCGAGTGGCCGTAAAAGGCAGAGGAATCGTAGACCACCGGCTCTTCCGCTGTTTCCGACGCATTGCCAGACCAGAGGTCTCCGTGAAGAAGCGCCGGATATATCTTATCCTTTATATCAGTAAAGTATTTATCAATTTTGAGCTGCAATTCAGACCACATTTCAATGAGTTCTCTGTTTCCCTCATTCTTCTCAACCAAATCTATTTGTTCTTTCAGTTTATTTCTGGCAAAGAATTCAATCCAATTGTCTTCCCAGTCGTTGTTTTGGGCAATAATTCCGCAACAAGTGCTCACATGAAAGCCAAACCGCTCGACACACTCTATATCATCGCTCTTTCCGACCCACGACTCCTTCTTTCGCTTCTTTTTGGTCGCAATTTCGTTATGTGAATGCATTTGAGCTAAAAGTTCGCCTAACCTTCCGGAGTGTTGTCTGAGTGGAGACATCGACAAGTGCTCCATCACTATAGCACCTCCCGGTCCCTTCACTTCCGGCACAACACATAATGGTTTGGGAACTCTCACTGTTTTGGTCGCGTCTATGGCTTTCATAGACTCGTATTCACCCAAAAACATCACTAATCCGTCGGCCGACGAGTTCTTCTTCACGAATACCAATCCATTGTCCGTCTCATAAGTCTCGCCTCAAATCATATCAATTTATTTATACATCATTTCAATCATTATTTCATTCATTTATAGTATTTATGAATTAACTTATTGTCAATAAATCATTAATTCTTGTGTCCAATAAATGCTAAATCATTGACAACACAGTTATCACTCTATTAGACATCAATCATCAATGAGAAGAGTCGTGACAATTGGTTCACTGACCACATGTTCATGCATTTGGTCATTGAAAACGATAATCACATCAATACATCCAATGCTAAGTGTGTGACCATCGGTGGTAATAATGACAATTGTCAACACATTCAATGTTATAATACAATCGTGACATACCTTTACTGATACAACCGCTGGAATCAGTTGACACCAGTTTCCACTTCTTCGTCTCCAACTTGTCCTGAATCTCGATATTGTTTCTTTCGCTTCTTTTTGATCGCAATTTCGTTATGTGAATGCATTTGAGCTAAAAGTTCGCCTAACCTTCCGGAGTGTTGTCTGAGTGGAGACATCGACAAGTGCTCCATCACTATAGCACCTCCCGATCCCTTCACTTCCGGCACAACACATAATGGTTTGGGAACTCTCACTGTTTTGGTCGCTTCTATGGCTTTCATCGACTCGTATTCACCCAAAAACATCACTAATCCGTCGGCCGACGAGTTCTTCTTCACGAATACCAATCCATTGTCCGTCTCATAAGTCTCGCCTCAAATCATATCAATTTATTTATATATCATTTCAATCATTATTTCATTCATTTATAGTATTTATGAATTAACTTATTGTCAATAAATCATTAATTCTTGTGTCCAATAAATGGTAAATCATTGACTACACAGTTATCACTCTATTAGACATCAATCATCAATGAGAAGAGTCGTGACAATTGGTTCACTGACCACATGTTCACGCATTTGGTCATTGAAAACGATGGTCACATCATTACATCCAATGCTAAGTCTATGGCCATCGGTGGTAATGTACTGTTAACAGTTGTGTAAGTTACAATATTATGTTAGCACTGTATGGAAATGACTATGTTGGCGACCTTAGTCAACTGTGGTCAAAGGTGAAGAAGCAGAGGTTGAACAGGACTTAGAGCTATAACATATCCATTGAGAAGATAATGCAAACAACAATCAATTGTCACTTCAATGACAGACACATCCAAAGCGAGTGAATCCCAAACACTGCCAACAAAGCCGTCAACTCCTCTAACGATCACAACAAACAACACGTGAATCGTAGAGACGTTCACATGATTTCAGTTGCGATGCATTTGTAATACATTTTTGCGCTCAAAATACTAAACAATTCATTCATTCATTCAGTCATTGATTCAATGGTTTTGTTGTGTTTTGTTTTGCCATTGATTTGATTGTTTGAGACAATGAAGACTCCGGTCAACAATCTCTGGCAACGACTGAATCAATTCAGTGACAATTACTGTCACACGGATTGCGATCCAGTAGTGAATCGATTGATTCAATTGAAACAATTGCAGACAAACGCCGCAAACGACTCGCGAGTGAAGACAGCGGTCGACACCGACAGCACCGCCGCCAAGACATCCACACCTATCGCTCAGAAGCGACACAGACCTGACATTGACGACCACTACGACAATGGATGGCCAGATCTGCCCGAAGATTGTCTGCGAGACGGCGGTTCCGTTGACCACATTGTCGACGATTTGTCACCCATTGTTAGGAAGAAATGCCGCAAAACTATATTCATCGCCGACAGCGACGAAGAGTTGGACAGGATTTGTGACAAAACGAGTATTGAATACTATACTAAGAATCGGTTACTCGAGACTCACCGCAAACTCGATGACCGGGACGTGAATCAACTCAAAGAACTGAACTACGATTTAATGACACAAATCTGCGATTCAATGAAGTCCTGTATTGACGACAATAAAGTGGTTGATGTGAACCAAATGAGCGCATTCCTCGACATCAGGACCAAAATCATTAGTCGATTAACGCCTCAAAGCAATGGATCAGTTGTGAGCGAAACCCAACAGTCGGACAATTATGTGATGAGCCATCGATTTGAAGACCTATC